CCATTGTCAGGTGACGACTGGCAGCGAATCAAGCAGCGATTGAAGGCACTCTGATCCAATGTGGTTGGCATTGTCAGATTTACAGGCAGCGATTGGCAGCAAATCAGGCAGCGACTGACAGTGCTCTGATTCAATGTCAATTCAGAGACCCTGACTAACCGATCAGCGTGGGCTGGGACTGGCTGGAAGTGGAGTAACTGGACAAACACTGCCACACCAGGGGAACTTTCAGGAGAACAAATAATCTGCAAAATTTACTTAAAAGGCGTCTGATTTTAGTGATTTAGTTTTTCCCCAATTTATTTGATTTTTCTTGTGATTCAAGTTCAGCTTTAATGAATCTGCATTTTCTCTTTTGCTTATTGTATCTATTGCCCCATTGCAGTTTAATTTACACATTTTACATTTAAATGACGGAGTATCTTCATCCCATATTTAACTTAAGAGTGTTTCACATGCTAAGGAAAGTTAGCAGGCTGTCCAAACTGGAGTGCCTCTCTCTGCAGCTGCTCCATGTCACACTGAGGTCCCGCTATAACACACCCAGGACATTCCCATAGTTCTGCTCTTTGTGACCCTTTAAGTCTTACTGCTGGTCTTATTCACTGCTCTGTTTCAGTATCAGCCTGATATACACTTTTCACTGCGTCGTTCTTTAGATTTGCCTGCCTGAGTGGGATGATGCTGTTATCTTTGGCTTGAAGTCCACTGCGGGGAAGCAGGCCTGGCAAGCTGACCATCCTCCTTTAGGGCACCAATCTGGCATGCGAGGTGGAGAACGGGTGGAGGTGGACCAGCTTGCGTATTGCCGGAGTGCTTTTGGTATCTGAGCTCCCTGACTGGGCTTTGTTCGTACCCCTGGGAATCTTAAGCCTCCCGCAGGAAAAAAAATATGGGGGGGCGAAGTTTCATGATTTATCGCATGGTTTTATATGCTGATTCTATAAATTACTCTAATGTTTCTGGTTAACAGAAACCTCGCATGCAAATCCAGGATAAATGGATCACATACGTCGATGTCACTAAAATGTAAGTAAGGCGTTTTCTGACACTCTGATTTGTTTAGAATAATTCTGAGTGTGCGACAAAACTGTGGCTATCACAATATTATTATGGTGGTAAAAATAAACATATTTCTATATTTTATTTACATTTACTAAAAGTAAAGGGTATTTTCCATTCCCACAACTGCCTCCGACTCTATGGCTAAGCCTCACTCTACAACTAAGCCTCATTCTGCAGCAAAGCCTCACTCTATAGCGAAGCCTCACTCTATAGCGAAGCCTCACTCTGCAGTTAAGCCTTACTCTATGGTTAAATCTTGCTCTGTGACTATGAACTTTGATCTATGAGTAAGCCTCACTGTATGGCTAAGCTTTCCTCTGCAGCTGATAATAATAATAATAAATACATTTTATTTAAAGGCGCCTTTCAAGGCCTCTCAAGGACTCCTTACAAAAAAAAACAATCCACAATTACAGTAATCAATATGGGACATGACCAGGGGCGGATTAAGGTGTACAGAGGCCCCTAGGCTACAGTAGTCTGTGGGCCCCCCAACCCCGCCCCCCTCCGCGCTAATGGGGGCCCGCTTGCAGGCTGGCACACGTGGGGCCCCTAGGCTTAAGCCATATCTAGCCTGTGTGTTAATCCGCCCCTGAACATGACCAATACATGTACCAGAATGGTGGTACTTGAAGGTGTAAATGATTAATATTATGGAGGTGAAGATACGCAGATGAGTAATATTATGAATATGTGATCTGAAAGGCAAGGATGACACCCAAACTTGAGGTGACACCCAAACTAGGATTGAGATACTATAGAGCCTTCAATTTTCAGGGAAAAATTATCAAATTTGGCAGGAGTAGATTTGGATGCTATGAGGAGAACCTCAGTTTTATTCTTATTAAGTTGAAGGAAACTGGTGGCAAACCAAGTTTGAATCTCAGATAGACACTCTGAGAGGGAAGTGGGGGGATAACAGAGTTAGGCATAGCAGATAAGTAGAGCTGGATGTCAACTGTATAACAGTGACATGGCATGGAAAATTTTCTAAAAATTACCAAGAGGTTAAAGGTAAATGATCAATAAAAGAGGCCCCAAAACAGAGCCCTGCAGAACACCCCTAGCAACTAGAACAATCTAAGATCTAATGGTTTTTAACTGAACAAACAGAGTACGACCTGAGAGGTAAACCAAAAAAGGACACCATCAATGATTGCAATAGACGTCTCGCTGTACGGCTAAGCCTCACTGTATGGCTAAGCCTCACTGTACGGCTAAACCTCGCTGTATGGCTGAGCCTTGCTCTATGATTAATCCTTGCGGTATGGCTGAGCCTCACCCTGTAGCTAAGCTTCTCTCTGCAACTAAACCTTGCTGTATGGCTAAGTCTCACTCTACAGCTAAGCCTCGCTATATGGCAAAGCCTCACTGTATGGCTAAGCCTCACTGTATGGCTATGCCTCCCTTATGGCTAAGCCTCGTTGTATGGCTAAGCCTCACTGTATGGTTAAGCCTCGCCGTATGGCTAAGCCTCACCGTATGGCTAAGCCTCGCCGTATGGCTAAGCCTCGCCGTATGGCTAAGCCTCACTGTATGGTTAAGCCTCACCGTATAGCTAAGCCTCAGTGTATGGCTAAGCCTCGCCATATGGCTAAGCCTCGCCATATAGCTAAGCCTCTCTGTATGGCTAAGCCTCGCCGTATAGCTAAGCCTCTCTGTATGGCTAAGCCTCGCCGTATAGCTAAGCCTCGCCGTATGGCTAAGCCTCGCCGTATAGCTAAGCCTCTCTGTATGGCTAAGCCTCACCGTATAGCTAAGTCTCTCTGTATGGCTAAGCCTCGCCGTATGGCTAAGCCTCGCCGTATGGCTAAGCCTTGCTCTGCAGCTAAGCCTCGTGCTATGACTAAACTGTCTTCACAGTGCTATGACAACAGACAAACTCCCTTTAAATCTTTATCCAGAAAAACAATCAAGGCCTAAAAAGCCACATAAAGTTAACGAAAATAATTAAAAGGGCACATGGTGGCAGGATGGAATGAGTAATTACTGATTTTAATGCTAGATATTGTAGAGCAGCCTTTATGGGCTCAGCTGCTTAATAATTTGCACAGTGTGGATGTCAAAATTAAATATTGGGTTTGGGGAAAAGGCACTATTGAAATAAATGTGAAAATGAGCATGAGCCTCCTCCCTGCCACGGCACTTAGCTGGTTCTGTGGCACTGGCACGCAGCCTCATTCACATCATTATTCATCACTTCCTTGCTTGCGTCTCACTTCCTGCCACTTTCCTGACATATAGATCCCTCATAACATAAAACGCTGGCACCAATCTTTCCCCCATGCTGTCTTACAAGAAAAACATCCCTAAACCTGGATTAGTGATGATTCCGGACTTTAGATCTTTTTAGATCTCCTTCAAGCTACACCCAGAATTGATTGTGGGAACTTGAGGATTATCTCCTGCATCTCCTCAGTGTACCTACCGGCTGCAACTGGGGAACGTCATCGCTTTGAATTTGAGTAACAAGGCCACAGGACCCGCTACACAGATACAACTGACTGGCTGGGATTAGCATGCTCCGCAGCGGAGAGGTGTTACCTGTGTATCTTCTCCTTTCCAGATTAGCAAGCAACAGCTACAGACTGTCAAGGAGCACTTCCAGGCCTTCCTCAACGGAGAGACGCAGATCGTAGCAGACGAGGCCTTCATCAATGCCGTCCAGAGCTACTATGAGGTAACCTCTATCTCTGAAAGACCAGGCAACGGCTCGCCCATTGAAGGCATGGCGACCCCCAGCCATGCCAAAGAGCCCGGCTGTTCTGTAAGCAGTTACTGAGCTGTGCAGTTGAATAGGATCCATGACCCCTACATGATAAAGTAAAGTCTGTCATTGTCTGTGAATGTTTATATTAATGAGGGGCATTTGCAGTTACTGAATTAAATGATGAATCATCGCCTTTTGAATTACTTTGCTTGTGAATGTGTTTTAACAAACAAAAGAGTAGAGTCTCATAAGGTGGCATTTAAAACATTCTTTGTACACAGGAATGAATGGAGGTCCATTTAGTAAGAATGCCATAGAGTCTGTGCTTAAGTTTTAGCTTACAGCCTTAATGAATTTCTGCCCTCACAGCTTAATAAATAAAAAATGGGCCAGAAATACAAAGAAAGAGTTCATTAAATAAAAAGAAGACCCCCAGAAGACCATGCTGAACTACAAAAAAATACTCCCAGAAGACCATGTTGAACTACAAAAAAAGACTCACAAAAGACCATGCTGAACTACAAACTCTGTTCAGTTTGCAGATTATGATATTTTTTTTTTTCAGTTGATTGATGTAATTTTTTTAAAATGAGATCACATACAAAATGAGCCCTGAGCTGTTTGCTCGGTGTCTCCATCACAGAGGCATCGCCGGCTGTAGGTGGCTGTTGCTAGCGGTTACTTTTGTTGCATCATCAATGAATGGCAAGTGTCCAACAGCTGCTAACAGCCATGAGCGTATGCTTGCAATAGCATTCATATAAGACGTCATTAAGAGGTTCTGTTAGGTTCTAAGCCGTTTTCATATTGCGCCTTTGCTTATTGGAGCGTGAAGGTGATGTTCTAGTGGCGTGTGGCCAGTTCTGGGGTCTCCAGAGTATAGGTAACAAATCCGACAGAGACATTGATAGCTTCCCTGAACATCGCGCCAAGTCGGTATCTTAGCCAAACCTTGGATCGTGCCAGTTGAGAAGGTCCTGTTGGCTGCAGTGGTCTTTAATGAAAATTAAGAGAAGTGGAACAGAGAGGGGCCAGGATACACAGTCTATCAACATGCCATTTTAAAGACCTAAATTAGCCATTTCAATTATGCATTATTGAAACCAGCCTAAGGTGGCTTTTCAATTTCATTAAGCTCAAAGCTCTTTGGTTCTTTCTGCTGGATGTGGGCCAGTTTGTCACTCATTCTTATTCTCCTTAGAGAAGCTAACTGGGGAGAAACACAGGTGTGAGGTCTGAGGTCTCAGATCCTTATCACCGGCTGTACTTCAGTGAGGCTCATTCAACAGCAAAATTCACAGAATTTTCTCAGTTTCTGTTGAGGCAGAAGCTGGACAGCTTAGAGGCTCGTCTGCCTCTCCCTGGCAGATATGAAAAGTAAACACTCTCTGAACTGGGAGACACTGAAAACCAGTAAGCTTTTTGTGTACAAGCTGCCAAGGTGGCAATGTAGCAGAAACACGGGCTTGTTGTCCTACGAAAGAGAAATGGTAAGAAGTTTCCAGAAAATGTGTATAGGATCTGAGGACCGTTTGGCGGAACAGGAGCAAAAGCATAAAACGACATTAGTCCAAATGCATAAACTAGCACAGCATGAAAAAACGAGGCAGCCTGTATCCAGCCATGTTTGTGGAATTCCTCCTATGGGAATTTTTCAGCTCGAGAAATTGATGGATTGAAAGAAGACATGTAAGAATGTAGAGCATTGAGTATTCAGTACTGCTGCAGGCTAAATGAAGGGCTTCTAGGATCTCTCGTTCCCCACTGTGCTCCCTGGCTGTCTGTTGATACCAGCAAAGGACACTTTTGCGAATCTTGTAGCTGACAGGGGAATAGCGCTTTCAGAGTGTGTCTGTGCTGCAAAGCTGGCACGCTGGACGCGGCGTCGGCCTTGTTATTACGAGAAATGAATGTGAAGATGAAAGAAGCACAGGGAGCCTTTGTTGTCCATAGTGAGGCTTTGTTATACTTTAATGGCGGCCTACCTCAATCAGCTGCGGGGAAATTATGCATCTATTTTTACCTTTCACAGATCAGGTACGCTTGTAGACAATGTTAGCCTTGGAAAAGAGCATTTGTATTCAGGGTTGTTCATCACGAAGAGATACACTATGCCATATGTCTTGTGTACCTTGATTGAATTGGACTCACTTCTGTCCAGGTTAGCCAGACCCTGAATTCTGGGGGAGACTGTATGATTTCACTCATTCTGCCACATCCCTGTTCTTAAGAGCTTAGATTTGAAGCAGGTTGAATTTAAGGAGAGATTATAAGAGCATTTCATGACTGTGCTGCCTCTTTAAAGCAGGATCAAGGACACAGTCAGTCTGAACTCAACCATGTAGAGTAACACTTTTTTGTATTTTCTGTGGCTTCACTGAAGAGGAACACAAGCATGAAATAAAGAGTGACTAATTTTTGCGATGCCTCTGACCACAGGTGTTCCTGAAGAGCGACCGCGTGTCCCGGATGGTGCAAAGCGGGGGCTTCTCAGCCAACGACTCCCGCGATGTCTTCAAGAAGCACATTGAGAAGCGTGTGCGTAGCCTTCCGGAGATTGACGGCCTCAGTAAGGAAACAGTGCTCAGTTCCTGGATTGCCAAGTTCGACACCATCTACAGGGGAGAGGAGGACCCACGCAAGCAGCAGCAGCGCATGACGGCCAGCGCTGCCTCTGAGCTCATCCTCAGCAAGGACCAGCTCTACGAGATGTTCCAGCAGATCCTAGGCATCAAGAAGTTTGAGCACCAGCTGCTCTATAATGCCTGCCAGGTACAGTATCACAATTTCCGCAGCACTCCTAGCACATAGGGGGCCTGTTTCCATCCATGGTGCAGAGGGACCTGAATCTACCTCTGGTCTTTAGGGGACTCTCCATCGATGGTGCAGAGGGACCTGAGTCCATAAGTGGTCTGTAGGGGCTGTGTCCTACCATGGTGCAGAGGGACCTCAGTCCATCTATAGTCTATGGGGGACTGTGTCCATCCATGGTGCAGAGAGACCTGAGTCCATCTGTAGTCTATAGGGGACTCTTTCCATCCATGGGGCGGAGGGACCAGAGT